AGATCAGTGTTCAACTTTCAGCTCGCTACTTGCTAGAATTGTAACTTTGAGCTTTACCTTAATGAACTTAGTGTTTTTTTTTCTTTTCATTTATGTACCGTGAAAATAATGCATGTCTTGCATGTTATTATGAGAATTATATTTGAGAATGAAAGTTGCATATTTGGCTCAAGGAAGGCAATTACTAAACAAGAGCTTTTATTTTGATGGGTAGCTCCAGAGTGTAGCACCATGTTCAGAACATTGCAAGCACTCAACAATTGGTTACTATTACTATTATTTGAGACAGAGTCTCTCTTTGTCATCCAGGCTAGAGTGCAGTGGTGCGATATTGGTTCACTGCAACCTCTGCCTCCTGGGTTCAAGTGATTCTCATGCCTCAGCCTCCTAAGTAGCTAAGATTACAGGTGTCTGCCACCATGCTCGGCTAATTTTTGTATTTTTAGTAGACAGTGTTTGGTCATGTTGGCCAGGCTGGTCTTGAACTCCTGACCTCAGGTGATCTGCCCGCCTCAGCCTCCCAAAATTCTAGGATTACAGGTGTGAGCCACTGCAGCTGGCCATCTGTTGATTTTTACCATTTGTTTTTAAATTATGAAAAACAATTTATACACATTGTAAACCATTAAAAATATAGATTACTTAAAGACAATAAAGGGAAGAAAAAGAAACTAATTAAAAAATTACTTTTAATCCTCCTACCCAGGGATAGCCAGCTCCTAATCGATGAAGATTTTTCTAGGCTGGGTCTTGTGTTTAACAAAGATGAAAAGTGGCAAAAATAATAAAAGTAAACAGAATAGAGCAAGCCGTTTAGACGGTAATGAAATAGGTTAATATTGCCCACAATGAATAGGTACATAATAGCCTAATTTAAAACAAAAATAGGCCTGGCACGGTGGCTCACGCCTATAATCCCAGCACTTTGGGAGGCCGAGGCGGGTGGATCATGAGGTCAAGAGATCGAGACCATCCTGGTCAACATGGTGAAACCCCGTCTCTACTAAAAATACAAAAAAATTAGCTGGGCATGGTGGCACCCGCCTGTAGTCCCAACTACTCAGGAGGCTGAGGCAGGAGAATTGCTTGAACTCAGGAGGCGGAGGTTGTGGTGAACCAGAATCATGCCATTACACTCCAGTCTGGGTAACAAGAGCAAAACTTTGTCTCAAAAAAAAAAAAAAAAAAAAAAGAAAAGAAAAGAAAAGAAAAGGAAGTGAGAATAAAAGAATCCTGGCTGGGCATGGTGGCTCACACCTGTAATCCTAGCACTTTGGGAGGCTGAGGTGGGTGGATCACCTGAGGTCAGGAGTTCAAGACCAGCCTGGCCATCAGGGTGAAACCCCATCTTAAAAAAATAAAAATAAAAACAGACTTTTGCACATAAAATTTTCCGGGAGCTGAAGGTATATGTATGATATGTAGAAGTGAAACTGAGTCCCTTAGAGGTGCTAGGTTTAACTTTTGCCTTTCACTTGAAAACTCCTGCTTTTTCTCATCACAACCTCATTCACTCCCTGAGGTCAGAGCCTGGCCTGCTAATCTGCCCTGTTACAGGCTCTTCAGGAGTCCTTATCGGCCTTCCTCAGTGTGTCAGTGTTATGAAGAAGTGGGAAGTCTGCTCCTCCCAGGCTAATATCAAAGGGCAAAAGGGGCTGTGATAGAAGCAAACATTCAGACTACAGCCAGATGTGGAACCGGAGCAGCAAGAGGAAACGCAAGAACATAGGTAAAAGAAAAAAGAAAGAAAGAAAATTCTTTTAAAAACTCTCATCTAATTTCAGGTGCAGTCTACGTCTGAGGGCACGAGGGATTAGTAAAATAGCATTTAAGGGGAAAATTTGTAAAGGAAAATGAGTAAAACATTCTGGGAAGGCCAGGTGCAGTGGCTCACACTTGTGATCCCAGTACTTTGGGAGACTGAGGCAGGCAGATCACCTGAGGTCAACAGTCTGAGACCAGCCTGGCCAACATGGTGAAACCCCATCTACTAAAAATACAAAAATTAGTTGGAAGTGTGGCTCATGCCTGTAGTCCCAGCTACTCGGGAGGCTGAGACAGGAGAATCGCTTGAACCTGGTGGGTGGAGGTTGCTGTGAGATCACGCCACTGCACTCTAGCCTGGGCACCGAGTGAGACTCTGTCTCAAAAACAAACAAACAAAAAATTCTGGGAAATGTGGAAAGGATATTCATCTGGAGCTAGAATCTCAGGAAATGTTGTATTTATCATAGTTGTTATCAGCATTCAAATATCATTGATGAGACTTAGGAGTCACAAGACTATAGGGCCTGCTAGTTCAGAATCAATTAGATTTGTTTTGTGGGTCCCCTCAGTGGAAGTTATGGGGAGACAAATTGCAGTTGAAAGTAAGGAAACCATTTCTAACACAGATATCAGAAAATAGGAGGTACTAGAGGGACTATTTGATAGGTAGTGAGTTGCTCATGGCCAGAGATTTGCATAGCAACTTGTTAGGAGTTGGGAATATTATAAAGGAGATCTTAGAATCCGATAGATTGTTGGACTAGAGGATCTTTAAAGTCCTTTTCAACGCTTCTGTGAGTCAATGATATAAATAGGAAATTTCCCTAAGAGCCATAAAATACTACATTTACATGTACCTGTAGAAGAGGTTCACATTCTAAAAACAATTCTCCAGGTCAATTCTGGTTTTCCTGAAGGAAGTGAAAAGGCAACCAAGAACAAACTGACGTCAGAGGAGTGTATACATCTTGCCGGATGCCTGCTTTCTTCCTCTTGGTGAGTACATATCACACCCATAGGGCCCCTGCTTTGCAAAGATCACACAGAAAGATGGGTTCTCTTCTTCTAGAGGAAGAATTTTAGTTGAGATAGCAAATATTTTGTTTTGCAATTAACTAAAGGTAAGGGGATCCTTTCTGAAATATTTGCTTCAGAGTTCAAATTTCAATTTAGGTGGCCGTTCTCTGGTCTGTGAAGCAAAAGAAGGGCGACAGGAATTTAATGACCATGCCCCAAAAGCTCACATTCTTTTCTAAGTCTTAGAGGTTTCCACAGCACAGGGCAGAACTATTAGAAGGGAAGGAAAATGCTGCTCTCACATCACACTGTATATGAAGAAATATACTTTTGAGATTTAGAACATGTGAAGAGCTAAAATGGTGTCTGCATTTGGTATCAATTGACATTCTTTCAGGAGTAAAATAAAGCTTTACAAAGTGTGTAAAATAATACATAAAAATACCAAATTTAATTAATTAATTAATTAATTAATTTTATTATTATTTTTTTGGAGATGAAGTCTCACTCTTGGTGCCCAGGCTGGAGTGCAATGGCATGATCTCGGCTCACCACAACCTCTGCCTCCTGGGTTCAAGCGATTCTCCTGCCACAGTCTCTCAAGCAGCTGGTATTACAGGCATTCACCACCATGCCTGGCCAATTTTTGTATTTTTAGTACAGTTTTTGTATTTTCTCCATGTTGGTCAGATTGGTTTTGAACTCTCAACCTCAGATGATCCACCCACCTCAGCCTCCCAAAGTGCTGGGATTACAGTGTTGGGATTACAAGCGTGAGCCCCTGCACCCTATTTTTATTTTTTTTTTAGACAGAGTTCCCCTCTGCTGCCTAGGCTGGAGTGCAGTAGTGTAATCAGGGCTCACTGCAGCCTCAAACTCCAGGGCTCAAGAGATCCTCCCACCTCAGCCTCCTAGGTAGCTGGGACTGCAGGTGTGCACCACCATACCTGCCTAATTTTTAAAATTATTACATCTTTTGTAAAGATGGGGTCTTCCTATGTTGTTCATGCTGGTCTCAACTCCTTGCCACAAGCAATCCTCCCACATCCACCTCCCAAAGTGCTGAGATTACGCATGTAAGCTACCACACCCAGCCTATGTTTGTGTTTATAGCAAGATCTTCTACAGAAGATATACTATAAAACTATACTTCCTTAGTTTTCTAGTGCCTTTCTTTCTTCCCCTTTTGAATTATAAAGAAGCGCATCGTCTCACTTCAACATCTATTTATGCAGATTCGCTAATAACTTACCTGGGCTCCTGTGCCAACCTGTGCCCTTTATATCCGGGCTCAGTGTTGGTGTTTCCTGATTTAAATGGAAATTGTTTGAAAATGTTAGCAATTTAATTTTTCCGTTATGATAAATATTAAGCATTCACCTTTATCTATGCCTACTTATTCCGGCAAGGCTAAGAATATTTGGCAAAGTGATTAGAAAATAGCATATAAAAGATAATTTCCAGTTGCGTGGGGTGGCTCACATCTGTAATCCCAGCACTTTAGGAGGCCCAGGCAAGAGGACTGCAACATAGCAAGACTCCATCTCTCAAAAAAATAAGAAAAAAGAAAAATTAGCCAGGCATGGTGGCATGTGTCTGTAGTCTCAGCTACTAGAGAGGCTGAAGTTGGAGAATCACTTGAGCTGGGAGATTGAGGTTGCAGTGAACTTTTTTTTTTTTTTTTTTTTTTTGAGAGGGAGTCTTTATCTGTCACCCAGGCTGGAGTGCAGTGGTTCAATCTTGACTCACTTCAACCTCTGTCTCCTGGGTTCAAGCAATTCTCCTGCCTCAGCCTCCCGAGTAGCTGGGACTACAGGTATGAACCACCATGCCCAGCTAATTTTTGTATTTTTAGTAGAGACGGGGTTTCAACATATTGACCAGCTGGTCTTGAACTCCTGACCTCATAATCTACCTGCCTCCATCTCCCGAAGTGCTGGGATTACAGACGTAAGTCACCATGCCAGCCGGCAGTGAACTGTTATTGTGCCACTGCACTCCAACCTGCACGGTAGAGCAAGATTCTGTCTCTCAAAACAAAAAAAACAAACAAAACAACAACAACAACAAAATATAGAGAGAGATGATTTCCAACATTAAAATGTATCTTCAGTAATTGATAGCTTTGAAGAAAATATTGTAATCTTTGGAATTACTGTTAATGTTGAAACAACATTTCTGCCCTAATTATAGGAACTTCTTTCTGTTACTGTTTGGAGCACAGAGTGGCTGCTGTGATGGAGAGTCTCAAGACTGATACTGACATGTCCTATCCTGAGTTAACAGTAGATGTGGGCAGAGTGATTTTTGGAGAAGAAAACAGAAAGAAGATGACCAATAGCTGTTTGAAAAGATCTGAGAATTCTAGAATTATCCGGGCTATATGTGCGCTTTTAAATTCTGGCGGTGGTGTGATCAAAGCAGAGATTTATGATAAAACCTATAGTTACCAATGCCATGGGCTGGGACAGGATTTGGAAACTTCTTTTCAAAAACTCCTTCCTTCAGGTTCACAGAAATACCTTGACTACATGCAGCAGGGGCACAATCTCCTGATTTTTGTGAAGTCATGGAGCCCAGATGTTTTCAGCCTTCCACTGAGGATTTGCAGCTTGCGCTCCAATTTATATCAGAGAGATGTGACTTCTGCTATCAACTTGAGTGCTAGCAGTGCCCTGGAGCTTCTCAGAGAGAAGGAGTTTAGAGCCCAAAGAGGAAGACCAAGGGTGAAGAAGTTGCCTCCTCAGCGGGTTCTCGATAGATGCATTCAGGAAGAGGAAGATATGAGAATACTTGCCTCAGAATTTTTTGAAAAGGACAAACTTATGTATAAGGAGAAACTCAACTTTACTGAGTCAACACATGTTGAATTTAAAAGGTTCACCACCAAAAAGATCGTACCTCGGATTAAAGAAATGCTACCTCATTATGTTTCTGCATTTGCCAACACTCAAGGGGGATACATTCTCATTGGGGTGGATGATAAGAGCAAAGAAGTGGTTGGATGTAAGTGGGAAAAAGTGAACCCTGACTTACTAAAAAAAGAAATTGAAAACTGCATCGCAAAATTGCCTACATTCCACTTCTGCCATGAGAAGCCAAAGGTAAATTTCACCACAAAAATCCTGAACGTGTACCAAAAAGATGTCCTGGATGGTTATGTCTGTGTGATTCAAGTGGAGCCCTTCTGTTGCGTGGTGTTTGCGGAGGCCCCAGATTCCTGGGTCATGAAAGACAATTCTGTCACACGGCTGACAGCTGAGGAGTGGGTGGTCACGATGCTGGGTACTCAGCCAGGTAAGGGGAAGTGAAGCCATTGTCCCTGTCAGCAGGGAGGAACCCCTTTCTCTGCCTTTTGTGGGGATTTGATGATATATTTTAGGTAAAAAACAGTAATTTATTTTTGCTTGTAAGTGTTCTCCCATTACAGTGTTCTTTATCTAATATTTTTAGTTCCAAAGAGTCAGAATATAAACTGTTTGAGGTCAAGAAGGTCAAGAAATGTTTGGATTCCATGACTTAAACAAGTTTTTTTGTTTGTTTGTTTGTTTGTTTTTTTTGACTGTCACCCAGGCTGGAGTGCAGTGGTGTGGTCTTGGCTCACTGCAACCTCCATCTCCCATGTGCACGTGATTCTCGTGCCTCAGCCTCCCAAGTAGCTGGGATTACAGGTGCATGCCACCACGTCTAGCTAATTTTTGTATTTTTAACAGAGATGGGATTTTGCCATGTTACCCAGGCTGGTCTCAAACTTCTGACCTCAAATGACATGCTCGCCTCTATCTCCCAAAGTGCTGAGATTATGGGTGTGAGCCACTGCTCCCGGCCAGCCTAAACAACTTGTAAAGGAAAGTTACAGTATGCCATCAGCTATGAGTTAGGAAAGCTCTCCTTTTTTTTATCTACAAACCTGTTGAAAAAACTGTGCAGGCTGATCATCCTAATCAAAATTGGAACAGTCTTAAAGATGATATTTTAGAGAAATGTTTAAGAATGACTCCAAGGACAGGCACAGTGCTAGCACTTTGGGAGGCCTAAGTGGGCAGATTGCCTGAGCCGAGGAGTTCGAGACCAGCCTGGTCAAAAGGGTGAGACTCTATCTCTCCCCCAAATATAAAAACTAGCCAGGTGTGGTGGTGTATGCCTGTGGTCCCAGCTACATGGGAGGCTGAGGTGGGAGGATTGCTTGAGCCTGGGAGGTGGAGGTTGCAGTGAGCAGAGATCACCCCACTACACTCCAGCCTGGGCAACAGAGTAAGACCCTGTTTCAAATAAATAAAATAAAATAAAATAAATAAAATAAAATAAATAAAATACTCCACTACCCACTAATTCTTCCAAATGAAACATTGTTGACAAATTTCAATTATTTTAGTAACATTAAGAGCTAATAACCTTAAACCACTGGGCTTAGGGTACCATCAAGTGGGGAAAAATGATGCAAAAGGAGATGCTAGGGTCGGGGGTGGGGTGGGGGAGCAGGACCCCTGTTGTTCTCTCTTATCTTTCAGTTTTGCTTGGAATCAGCCTTGGTGATTCCTAAGCAATCTGTAAAGGACTGCTGGCTGAACTAAGCCTATCTGCTTGCCTTCATGGCCAGTATGTTTTACATTTGATCAAGACTTGAGTGATTAGAAAAATGTATCGGGTCATTCTTTCTCTTGTATTAAATTTGTTTGAGCTCACTTCTCTCCTCTCTCCCCCAAAGATCCTGCCACTTTTGATTCCATCTAACACTATATGGGGACATAACAACTGTAATAACTTTTTTTTTTTTTTTTTTTTTTTTTTTGAGACAAGGTCTTGCTTTGTAGCCAAGGCTGGAGTGCAGTGGTGTGATCTCGGCTCACTGCAGCTTCCACCTTCCAGGTTCAAGCAATTCTCCCACCTCAGCCTCTTGAGTAGCTGGGATTACAGGCACACCATCACACCCGGCTAATTGTTGTATTTTTAGTAGAGATGGGGTTTTATCATGTTGGCCAGGCTGGTCTTGAACTCCTGATCTCAGGTGGGATTACAGGCATGAGCCACTGCACCCAGCCAACAACATTTTTTAAATACTGTGATTTTCATTCTTGCTGATCCCCTCTAGGTGCCTTTTCTTTTTCTTTCTTTCTTTCTTTTCTTTTTTTTTTTTTTTAAGATGGAGTTTCACCATGATAGCCACGTTGGTCTTGACTCCTGACCTCAGGTGATCCACCCACCTCGGCATCCCAAAGTGCTAGGATTACAGGTATGAGCCACTGCGCCCGGCCTGCCTTTTCTTCTTAGAGATAACCCGGAATTAAAATATAGTTGAGGCTGGGCGCGGTGGCTCACACCTGTAATCCCAGGACTTTGGGAGGCCGAGGTGGGCAGATCAGTAGGTCAGGAGTTTGAGACCAGCCTGGCCAACGTGTTGAAACCCTGTCTCTACTAAACCCTGTCTCTACTAAAAATACAAAAATTACATGGTGGCACACACCTGTAATCCCATCTACTCAGGAGGCTGAGGCAGGAGAATTGCTTGAACCCGAGAGGCAGAGGTTGCAGTGAGCCGAGATCATGTCATTGCACTCCAGCCTGGGCAACAAGAGCGCAACTCCATCTCAAACAAACAGATTATTAGAGTTGAAAGAAACCTTAGAAATTATCACTTCACTCCTGCGTGAGAAAGAGATGAAATGACTTGCCCAAGCCGAGTCACACCGTGAGTTACAATATGTATGACATGACCCCTGCAGGAATTCCCAGACTTCCTTTCCTGACATATGTGAGCTGTCTGAGGCATAGTAGGTATGACCGCTCAGGCACTCATGCACATCACAGGTCTCAAGTAAGAAGAGCCCAAAAAGAGGCTTTTTTGGTGTTTGACTTTTTATTTTTTATCTGAAACAACTTTCCATGTAATTGTCTAGCTCCTTCCAGTTTGGTCACAGGCTACAACTCTTACCTGATTTCATCAGCTTCATCTGAACGGAAAAGCCCTGGATATTCCATAAAAGTCTATGAATTTAAGGAGGCTCTGCAACGACGTTTATTTCCAGGTATTCCCTCTTGATTTCAGCTGAGGGGACTGTTTGTTTTCTAAAATTGAGTTGGGAGGGATTAGTAGCAATGAGTTTAAGTGTTTCTCCTTAGAGATCAAATGAAGAACTTAGCAGAAAAATGATCCCGAAATTTTATTTATTATTATTTTCTCTCTCTCTCTTTTTTTTTACTTCGGTGCCATGACTCGGATTGAAATTTTATATATATATATATATATATATATATATATATATATATATATATATATAATTTATATATATATATAATTTATATATATAAAATTATATGTATATATATGCCTGACCCTTGTTTCTCAGTCATCTGATTCCCACTATTACTATTTCCCTGTGCTTTTCAACTTCTTGTAACATATGGCTTTTGTTTTCCAAATTTGAGAGTACAGAACATTTCTCAGGTCTCTACCATCAAAAAACTGCCCCTGGCTTTCCAATGCAGAGGGAGCCATTGGGTCATCTGCACTTCTTCTAAAGCAGAGTTTCTCAACCTCAGCTCTATTGTCATTTGAGTCAGATAACTCCTTGTTGTGGGAGAGAGAGCCCTGTGAATTGTAGAATATTTGGCAGCATTCCTGGCTGATACCTACTATATGCCAGTAGCTTCCCTCCAATTGTGACAATAAAAAATTCTCAGGCCAGCATGGTGGCTCATGCCTGTAATCCAGCACTTTGGGAGGCCAAGGTAGGCAGATCACCTCAGGTCAGGAGTTCAAGATGAGCCTGCCAACATGATGAAACCCCGTCTCTACTAAAAATACAAAAATTAGCCAGGTGTGGTGGCATGTGACTGTAATCTCAGCTACTCAGGAGGCCGAGGCAGGAGAATCGCCGAATCTGGGAGGTAGAGGCTGCAGTGAGCTGAAATTGTGCCACTGCACTTCAGTCTGGGCGACAGAGAGACTGTCTCAAAAACAAAATTCTCCAGACATCGCTGAATGTCCCTGGGGATAGGGGAGAAGTGGGGGAGCAAAACTGCTACTGGTTAGAATCACAATTCTAAAGAAAAGCTCTTATTTTCCCAAATGCACCAGGTATCATTTCTTTCTGCAGTGTTGCAGGAATACCTACCACAGACTTTTGTAAGTTTTGGTAACATCTATTCCTTGAATTTTCAGTGACACAGGAAGAGGTACAATTTAAACCAGAATCCCTCTGTAAGAAGCTGTTCTCAGATCATAAAGAGCTGGAGGGATTAATGAAGACCCTGATACATCCTTGTTCTCAGGGAACTGTGATATTTTCTAGAAGCTGGGCTGGTGATGTTGGCTTCAGAAAAGAACAGAATGTCCTGTGCGATGCTCTCCTAATAGCAGTTAACAGCCCCCTGGTACTGTATACAATCTTAATAGACCCCAATTGGCTTGGAGGACATGAATATGCCCGAAACACAGCTCATCAGTTAAAGCAGAAACTGCAAACTGTTGGTGGTTACGCAGGGAAAGTGTGCATCATTCCAAGGGTGATACACCTGGCTAGCACACAGAGTAGACCTGGTAAGATCCCACTGTGCTACCCGAGGTCCTACAGGCTTGCTGATGAGGAGGAAATGGAAGACTTGCTGCAGGCTCTCGTGGTGGTCTCCCTGTGCTCCAGATCTCTTCTGAGCGACCAGCTGGGCTGTGAGTTTTTCAACTTGCTCATAATGGAGCAGAGCCAGTTGCTTTCTGAGAGCCTTCAAGAGACACGTGAATTATTTATCAACTGCTTTCCAGGAACCAGGAAGACAGCTCTAGCCATACAAATCATGGGGAAAATTAAGGACTTGTTTCACTGCAAACCGAAAGAGATCCTCTATGTCTGTGAAAGTGACTCCCTAAAGGATTTTGTGACGTAAGAGTTTTACCAACTAAACATACACAAAAATATATAATCAGTCTTTTCAAAAGTGTCACAAAAGTAATTTGTGTTTTTAGTTTAAGTTTTTGCAATGCTTTAGCTGCGTAAGTGCAAGAGCGCAAACTATACACACATTTCCAAGTAATCAGGGAATTGAACTGCAGACAGGTAATTTATGATGTTCAACCGTAAACATCTCATTATAAATAACTCACATGTACATAACTTAAATTTATAGAACCAGAAACACTTTTTTTCCCCACAATCCATGGCCTTAATTTTAAGAAAAATAGAAATGAACCCATTTTGCTTTCAGTATACTTTTTGTTTGATATGTAATGTTTTAAAGTCATAGGGTGTTTCTGCTAATTAGACATTGCACCTAGCATAAACTTGAATTTAAATACAATTTGATTTTTTTTTTTTTTTTTTTTTTTTTTTTCTTAGACGGAGTTTCGCTCTTGTTACCCAGGCTGGAGTGCAATGGCGCGATCTCGGCTCACCGCAACCTCCGTCTCCTGGGTTCAGGCAATTCTCCTGCCTCAGCCTCCTGAGTAGCTGGGATTACAGGCACGCGCCACCATGGCCAGCTAATTTTTTTTTATTTTTAGTAGAGACGGGGTTTCACCATGTTGACCAGGATGGTCTCGATCTCTTGACCTCGTGATCCACCCGTCTCGGCCTCCCAAAGTGCTGGGATTATAGGCGTGAGCCACCGCGCCCGGCTACAATTTGATTTTATTCATAAAATATTTGCATTTTTGAGTTATTCTGCATCAGTATTTTAGAAAATACACCAATTTGCTGATTTAAATCTCTAGCTTTTAGTAAAATGAGGGTAAAATCATTATTATTTTTGATTTGGTTTTGTTATTCCACAAATCTTTTTGAGCACTGTTGATATGGTATCTACCGTGCCACATTTACTGTTGGAGGAGAAGACGTATTGAGGACCTTGCCATAAAAAAATAAACAATGTGTTGTATAATAATAAAGACATGCTTTATTTATTTATTTTTTTTTTCGAGATGGAGTCTCACTGTGTTGACCAGGCTGGAGTGCAGTGACACGATCTCAGCTCACTGCAACCTCCGTCTCTGGGGTTCAAGTGATTCTTCTCCCTCAGCCTCCTGAGCAACTGGGATTACAGGTGTGCACCACCACGCTGGGCTAAGGTTTGTATTTCTAGTAGAGATGGGTTTCACCATGTTGGCCAGGCTGCTTTCGAACTCCTGACCTCAAGTGATCCACCCACCTCCTCCTGGCAAAGTGCTGGGTTTACAGGCGTGAGCCACTGTGCCTGGCCTCACGCCCATTTTAACAGGTTAGAGGTTGGTTGGCAAATATTCCCCAGTGAAGGAGACCATTGGGCACACTGCTAAGCAGTCAGTATGAGAAGTAAATCAAATGGGAGAGGGCTTTCTAGGCAAAAGGCACAGCATGTCCAAAGACATGGAGACTCTAGAGAACCGGAATGGTAGGTCTGACTAGGCCGGTGCAGAGTGTGGGCATACAGCAGGTAGTATGTTGACAGGGAGGCAGAAGCCAGATTATGAGGAATCCTGCAGACTGTGCTGAAGACTACGTTCTTTATTAAGATATATAGCTAAGTTTCAAAATACCTTAGTCAAAAGGCTAACTCGACAAATAGCTATTGAACCTCTAATGTGAGAGGGATACAAAGATGGCTAAGATCAGTGCTTTTATTTGAGTCCACACAGTTCAAACCAGAAGAGAAGAACATAGTTACTATTCAAGGCATAATACAGGAGGTAGTAAAGCCCTAGGAACTGTATATGTAAAATCACGGAATCTGTAGGGATGAGTGATGTTTCTTGGATCCAAATTAAAGGAGGCAAAAAACAACCATATTTGTTAAGAAAAAGTACATATATGCTAAAGCATACTATAAAGGAAAATTACCAAGTAAATGAGGTAGCCCCAAAGAGGCATAGCCCTGTAGATTTGGTACCCTACTTGATGTGTCATGGAACTCAGCGTCCTCTCGATGTTTCTCTTGCCAAATCTAAAGGAAGTTGGAGGAATTTGAACTAGTCCATTATTTCGCACATAAAAAATATGATATGTATCTATATAACTGTTCTCCGGCTCTACAAAGGATAGAAAGTAAAGAAATGGTAGTAACAACTGTAAGTTAACTTTAAGATTTCCTTTAGATATAATGAACTAGCCGAGCATGGTGGCTCACGCCTGTAATCCCAGCACTTTGGGAGGCTGAGGCGGGCGGATCACCTGAGGTAGGGAGTTTGAAACCAGCTTGACCAACATGGTGAAACCCTGTCTCTACTAAACACACACACACACACACACACACACACACACACACACACACACACACACAATTAGCTGGGTGTGGTGATGCATGCCTGTAGTCCCAGCTACTAGGGAGACTGAGGCAGGAAAATCGGTTGAACCCGGGAGGTGGAGGGGTTACAGTGAGCTGAGATCATGCCATTGCACTCCAGGCTGGGCAATAAGAGCAAAACTTTGTCTCAAAAACAAAAAAACAAGCAAACAAACAAAAGATGTAATGAACTTGCCTTCAGGGTTGCCAAAAGTAGAAATGGACTACTAATAGAAATAATACAGTCTGTTTCTTGGGTTCATTTCAGAAGTTTCACATGCAGACTTAGCTGGATAAACCCAAAGAGCAGGGAATAAAATTATGCATTCTGTCTGTCAGGCAACTTGTAATTAGAACAGTTTTGTGGTATTCACACTACTGAATCAATGACTCGGCCTGTGGATGAGCATCAGCGTCTGATTCCATTTCATAGTAATGAATGCTGATATTCCCTTTGTTGATATGGCTCAAGCCCTGTTTTCTCTTTCTTCCTTACAGCCAACAAACCACCTACCAAGCTGAGACTCGGAAAACTTTCATGCAAAGGAAGTTTCCAAAGATTAAACACATAGTGATGGATGAGACTGAGAATTTCTGCAGCAAATACGGCGATTGGTACATGAAAGCTAAGGACATCACCCATCCAAACCATGGGATTCTCTGGCTTTTTCTTGACCCTTTTCAAATCCGTCACGCAGAGGTCAATGGCCTTCCCCCTCCATCTGCTCGGTTTCCTCGAAAAACAATCACCAGAGGGATCCACTGTGCTCTGGAAATAGCAAAAGTCCTGAAAGAAGAAATGAAGAGGATCCAAGAAAATCCTCCCTCCAACACGTGTCCAGACACATTAGCACTGTTCAGGGAGGTTGCCTATGAGGAAGCCATGCGTGCCCAGGCTCTGCCTGGGGTGTGTGAGACAAAGACTAATCTGACAATGGAACAGATAGCTCACTATGTGGCAAGAAAATGTCACAGCCTGTTCCAGTATGGCTATCTGCCCAAAGATATAGCGATTCTGTGCAGGAGACGGGAGGACAGAGGGCACTATAAGCGTGCACTGCTGAAAGCAATGGAATTAACTGAGACCCACAGAGCATCAGAGGTTGTGTTTAGCCAGGCCACTGGTGTTTGTGGAAGTCACATTGTTTTAGATAGTATTCAGCAATTTTCGGGTCTGGAGAGGACTATCGTATTTGGGCTTAGTCCAGAATGTGACCAGTCAGAGGAATTTCATAAGCTCTGCTTTGCCTCAAGAGCCATTAAACACCTCTACCTGCTTTATGAAAAGAGAGCAGTCTTCTGAAAATTATTACAAATAATACAGGAGGCAGGAAGAGCAGAGTCCTTTCTCCTAGACAGGTGGCAGTGATTCCTTTTTAATATTACAAGTAAGGAAACCAAGACACATCAGTATTTCCTGGAGCCACAGAAATGTCTCTTAGGGCTGAACCTTCCATTCTATTTTAACACCATGGGCCTTTTCACAGTCTCCTTCACCTCCTACCTATATAATTCCAACAGACTTATAATTAGTCCCCTATCTCCAGCTTTCATCCATCAAACAGAGTTCTCCTCAAATAGAGAACTGACTTTATGTAATACCTTGCTAACATTTCTTCAGTGAGTCCCCACAACCTTCAAACCTAACCAATTTTTTTTTTTTTTTTTTTTTTTTTTGAGACAGAGTGTCGCTCTTGTTACCCAGGCTGGAGTGCAATGGCACGATCTCGGCTCACCGCAACCTCCGCCTCCTGGGCTCAGGCAATTCTCCTGCCTCAGCCTCCTGAGTAGCTGGGACTACAGGCATGCGCCATCATGCCCAGCTAATTTTTTGTATTTTTAGTAGAGACGGGGTTTCACCACATTAACCAGGATGGTCTCGATCTCTTGACCTCGTGATCCACCCGCCTCGGCCTCCCAAAGTGCTGGGATTACAGACTTGAGCCACCGTGCCCGGCCAAACCTAACCAATTTTTAAGGCTTTCATTAATATTTGTCTCAGCAAACTGACACAAGAGCAGAAAATCAAACACCGCATGTTCTCACTCATAGGCGGGTGTTGAACAATGAGAACACGTGGACACAGGGAGGGGAGCACTACACACTGGGGTCTGTTGGGGGGAAAAAGGGAAGGGACAGCGGGGGGTGGGGAGTTGAGGGGATAGCATGGGGAGAAATGCCAAATATAGGTGAAGGGGAGGAAGGCAGCAAACCACACTGCCACGTGTATACCTATGCAACAATCTTGCATGTTCTTCACATGTACCCCCAAACCTAAAATGCAATAAAAAAAAGAAAAAAAATGCCCTGACTTGCTTTCCCAATCACATCCTTCATTATATCTCTATCTCCCAGTGTTTCTCATGCACCCGAGCCTACCTGGCCTATTTTTGGGGTGGTGGTATGGTGCTCTCCAGGCAAGTTACTTTGCTTTTGTCACAAAAGCAGCCGGTTAACTGGCACCTCATGCTGGCTATGGGTCTCAAGCTTTCCAGGTTCAGAACTCGATTGCCTTTTTGCAACAAGTCTAGATCAGTCTCTTGGAGATACTTTATGCTAATTAAGCTCACAAAAGACGAATTCATAAATGAAAATACTACTCTGTTAATTTGTAGTGAGGAGCATAGTAATAAGTGGGCCAGGTGCTTTTGCTAATCAGTGCCCTCAACAGTAACATAGGAAGCCAAATTATATGAGCATAGCCTTGCAGTAAGGGAAGCTAGTAATTTGATTCAAATATTAAAAGTCTTCGGGCTGTATTAGACTATTGCAATATCTATTAGGTTGGTGTGAAAGTGCAAAAACCGCAATTACTTTTGTACCAACCTCATATAAAATAAAATTGAAATCATTTCTAAAATAAAGACATTTCCATCACAAGGACTAGACAAGTTAGTTTACAGGTTTACAAGCTAAAGCACATTTAGAATGCTAAGGATGACTACTTTTCATTATTCTCTGCCCTCAGATGAAATCTTTTTTTCTGTCCTGATTACTAAAGTTTCCAGGTTGATCACCAACCCTTTCCTCACCACCCCCAGCATATACAAATTTGGCCTACGTTCAACCTCTACGTATATGAATGCACTCATGTCGGCTAGGAACTCCTTATACTCTGCTGCTGGCCTGGAAAGTAGTCTTCCTGTAAGGGGCCTTTGCACGTTGCTGATCTCTTCCATTATGACTTGGTGCTAATTTTTAAATCCAACTCTCGGAGTTTATGGGGATCCTGGGTGTCAGCTTTACCACCAACAGCAACCCCACACATCCCTGACTCCTGCTCTGTGCCTGTGCCATTTTCTCAGCCTTTAAACCCTTTTCTGTCCCCTCCATCTTTGAAATCCTTACTTGTCAATCAAATCCTTGTTCAAATGCCTATTACCTCAATTAAACTTTTACTATCTCCCTAAGTGAAACTTTCCAATGTAAATGATACATATTAGAGATAAAATCAAAGTTTCCTTTTTCTAGTCAGCTCCCGGAATGGCTGAGCCAGTCCTGTGCTCTTCAAAATACTCTTGCTTTTGCAAGGATTTTTAAACTGCTTTGGAAGTATTCTTATTTCCCAACTGTTTTTAACTTCTAGAAAAGTTTAAGACAACTTGATTGACTCTGGGGAGGCTTGAATCTAGGAGAACATGGGGAAATGTTGGTTATAATTTTAGATAAAGCCCCTCAGTCTTCCAAGAGGTGGAAGAGCAGGCAGGGTTTCTAGAAGCTCTCTTAGCTGCCTTTCTGAATTGTTTAGATCCATTAGAAGAGCTAGCCTGCACGTAGGCATAGATTGAAAAGAAAAGCCTCTCCCTTGCTTCCCACTGCTCTAATTACCTGGTGTTTCTTCCTTTTTACCTTTCCTTGGGGGCTTTAGGGCACTTCTGAGTAGAAGGAAATGAAGTTTAGCAATTCGTTTTGCAAAAGATGCCAGTGCATTAACATTCTGATGAAGGAGATGTATGAATTCCATAAATATAAAGAGTCGAAGTCAATAGGGTATGAAGGAGTATGGGTGGGACAGGGAATTGCTATATTTTAGTCATAAGCCTTAGTACCATTTGACTTTTAAAAATACATGCATGCGGCCGGGCGCGGTGGCTCAAGCCTGTAATCCCAGCACTTTGGGAGGCCGAGGCGGGTGGATCATGAGGTCAAGAGATCGAGACCATCCTGGTCAACATGGTCAAACCCCGTCTCTACTAAAAATACAAAAAATTAGCTGGGCATGGTGGCGCGTGCCTGTAATCCCAGCTACTCAGGACGCTGAGGCAGGAGAATTGCCTGAATCCAGGAGGCGGAGGTTGCGGTGAGCCGAGATCGTGCCATTGCACTCCAGCATGGGTAACAAGAGCGAAACTCCGTCTCAAAAAAAAAAAAAAAAAAAAAAATACATGCATGCATTATAGAATTTTTTTTCTCCGACACCCCAACCCATTATATAATTTTTAATAAAAATTGATTTGTAAAGAATTGTTTTGAATATTGAATTTGGGGGTCTTTGTTAGTTCTTAATCTGGTGAAACAACCCAATCAGGATGGAAGTAGAATAACTAACTCAGTGATTCTCAACCCTGGATGCTCATTATAATTTCCTGGGGAACTTTAAAAATATATCAGCAATCAGGCCAGACACCTGACTAATTAACAGCATGTCTAGATACAGGCTTGAGCGTCGGTATTTATTAAATGTTGTCCAGGCAGGGTGCAATGGATCATGCCTGTAATACCAGAAACTTTGAGAGTCTGAAGTTGGGGGGAAATCAGTTGAGGCCAGGAGTAACATAGCAAGTCCCATCTCTACAAAAAATTTTAAAACAAAGATTAGCTGGGCATGGTGGTGCATGCTTTTAGTCCTAGCTACTCCAGAGGCCAAGGTGGGAGCATTGCCTGAGCCCAGGCGTTTGAGGCTACAGTGAGCTATGATTACGCCTCTGCATTTCAGCCTGGGTGACAGAGCAAGACTCTTATCTTAAAAAAAAAAAAAAGAGGAAGTTGGCTGGGCACAGTGGCTCACGCCTGTAATCTCAGCACTTTGGGAGGCTAAGATGGGTAGATCACGAGGTCAGGAGTTTGAGACCAGCCTGACCAACATGGTGAAACCCTGTCTCTACTAAAAATACCAAAAAAAAAAAAAATTAGCTGGGCATGGTGGTGCATGCCTATAATCCTAGCTACTCAGGAGGCTGAGGCAGGAGAATAGCTTGAATTCAGGTGGCAGAAGTTGTGGCAAGCTGAGATCACACCACTGCACTCCAGCCTGGGCAACAGAGCGAGACTGCATCTCAAAAAAAAAAAAAAAAAAAAAACATTGTTCAAATGATTCTGTCACAGGGTTGAGAACCATTGAACACTTCCAGTCTGTTCTTTCTGTCTTCAAAAAATGTTTGCACATTTCTCTTCCTATTAAGACTGTGAGCTTCTTGAGAGTAAGAGGATGTGTCACTTACACATCCATATTTCCCCTAGAACAACTAGTGCAGTGCCTCTCACATGGCAGGTGCTCAGCAAATAGTTGCTGAATTGTACTTGCAGATTTTAGAAAACTGGAATCTACTAGGGATCTACAATGATTCTATTCAATAGTATGAATAATATTAGAGATTTCAAAGAGGTCAATGTGGAGAATAATCTTTGACACTGTAATAATGAAGAATAAGGGAACAATAAAGGCAACTCAATTGTTTTTAGGCAACAGGTCATTAAACATCTATGATGATAGTTCATTAGGTTCAAATGTAAGATTAGGAACTGGTGGGGACTAAGAATAATTGGCTACCTTGGTTGTACTTAGAGTTCTCAATGTTTTCTACGAAGTCTTAATATGATGGATAAAGCAGTTAACTAAATGAAATAACTAAGATAAAAGAGAAGATTTAGAAGCTGTGAGAAGCTTCTAAACTTACTTTTAACAAGGGTAATATAATATTATCTTGGAAGTTCCAGAAATGGAGAAAGGCAACATTAAAAGTTCTTAAATCCTCTTGTTAGCTGGGTATGACATTTTTTCATTTTGGCTTATTTATTTCTATTCTTTGTTGGTATAGAAAATATTTTTACATAGTTATGAGCAAGTTGTGCAGTCAATTTTATATCCTACATGTGTGCTTTTCCATTTAAGTGTTTCGTGAGATATTGCTATAGGCTACATTCTTGTTCCCAATATTTCATAACTCTCTGTATCTATACATTTGTAGTTCCTAACATTAGAGGTAGAAATAGTTTCCACCCCTTTAATGTGGCCTTGGCCATGTGACTTGAAATGTTAGTAGTTGTGATGCACATAGAGGCTGTACATGGACTTTCAGCATTGGGCTTGCTCTCTTAGGTTTCTACTATTTCCATACAGAAATGTGCCCTGAGTGGCCCACCAGCCACTAAGATATGTGAGTCCAACTTGAACTCAACTCGTGGCCT